TACTTCCCACTGCATTCATACAGCATGTCTGACACAGAGCATTATGAAATATATTGCAGAACAGAGCTCACTGCAAAAGCAGTGACCAAAGAAATTTCAAGGAAAGCAATGAGGAAAATTAGCACACGCAAGCATATGCAGTGCTCCTGTCCCTGGCCAGATGAAACACATAGAGCAAAACACACAGTACTACAAAAATGTAGTACTTATGCTTTCTCCACGTCTTCCCCACCTTTCACAGTTCCCACAGATCGGTTCTGTATTCGTTGCCTACAGGTGCAGAAAGCTACAGCAGCGCCACTTTGTGACACCATAGCTATGTAATCTCACATTTTCCACTCTCCGAAAATAAAGTCAAACAAACTGCATGCAGACAGAAGTGTAATTGCCCCTCACTTCTTTATGAAAGCAGACTGGAGTGAGATGCAGTACATTATTAAAACATCATAAATCAGCTTATTTTGGAATTTTGGAATGAAGATGGAATGAACGGTTGGAATGAATTACCCTCAACAATTTCAGCCACACTTTGTCCAGCCCTTCGCACAGCCCCTGTGATGGCCAGCCAGCAAGTAGATCAGCAGGCATGAGCTCCCTCTCTGCAGCAATAAACATGATGATTTGCTATCCCATGACCTAGGGACTTCATGACAAAGTAGCAAGTATCTTCTTACTCAAGGCTCGCAGAAAATTTTAATAAACACATTCCTAAATAGTTCATAATCGGCACCATGCATGATTCTGCTAACCATTCAGCATCATGTTCGCACATCTCAGGCTCCAAATGAAAACTTAAGAAGTGGCCTTTACTTCTACAACCAGTGATGATGAGCAAGTATGCACACCTACCTATGCATACACATACATATGCGTGTACGTTCTTCTTCTCATGCTATTCAGTAGGACCAAATCAGAGTACCACCAATCGTCATTATCTTCAGCCAAGCTGTTTTACATACACTGTTTTTCTCTTTTCAAAGAACAGTAGAACCAAATGTCGCAGGAGTAAAACCGTCTCCCACACACTTTCAGATAAGCACTGTCATTCTCCGAATTCCTTGGGAAGGTTGGGGTAAACAGCTCAACAAGGTTTGCACTCCAACAATTGCACGAAGCTGATGTTTTCCTTAACGTTGCAAACTCTATCTCTGTGTAAATTATGCATTTGTCACAGTGTTATACCATGAGGAATTGTTCTTCTGAGTTTTTTTTATTACAAGAATATAGTATGGCCAAAATAACAAACCTGGTAAACACTGACATACGTTCATCCATAGCAGAAATTCTTTTTGTTTTAACTAAATGAGAAAGCAGTAATCATTCAGACTAATTTACATACCAATTTCATATTCAGCATTATGTCAAATTTCACATTTTTCCCACTGAAGTGTAGTCTCCCAATAAGTGTATTTCTTTCCTCTCCTTTACTCCTATTTTTTAGTAGGCCAATAAGGAAAATAAGCTCCTGGTGCTGATTTACTGGCTTCAATCACGTGATCTATTGCAAATGTTGGGGTTCATTTCTACGCTAAGGCTTTGTTAGGAACAAGAGAATAGAAGTATTTTCTTAAGCTCCACAAATACATGAGTCATTAAACAAACACCTCCTGTGAATAAGGCTCAACTCAGCAAGCCTGCAACATATACACACTTCCTTCAATATTAACATTTTAACGTGTGATGACTGAACATAACGTTGGGAATTCTTATGTACAAAGGCAACACAGCACTGCACATAAAAAGTGAGCAAGATTTATCAAAGCAAAATTCTCTCTTGATCATCTCTTCGGAGCTTTACCTGAGAAATTTCTTGATCTGTCTCAGTAGTGGTCTCTACTTTTGGAAATATGACAACCTAAACTAACCATCATGCCTCATACAACTACAAGGCAAAAGGGGTGAAAAGGAATAGAAAAGGATAAAAGATCCAAATCGTGCAAACCAATGCCAGCAAATGTATTGGGGCACAGTTTTATTCTGCCTACTCATCTCTCTCCTCTGACCCCATGAAGGCATGCATTTGAAGACATGCCTAATTAATCTAATTAGCTATATTTACATTTTGACTCAGCCACCTGCATCTGCTATTACAGATACATAGCATTCCCTCCCAAAAATTCCACTTGGTTTTCTTTGGAGTATACTCTAGCAGTCTTTTCAGCTGTTGGGCACAGGTGGCTCCAAGCATGTCTTAAATATCATCTCCAAATCACTTTAGTATGGCCTTGCAACTATGCAAGAAGTGAGAATTCAGTACAAATATTTCAGGGTATCTGCAAGTTCAAAGCTTTGAAAAGAGTAGTATAGAACCAAACTTTCTTTCGACTGAAGTTAACAGTACAAAAATGTCAAAGTGCTTGGGCTTTCAGTGAGGTAAGGACTGCAACATCATTTAGGATCAAGGCTCACTATATTCACTAAGAAGACATGCAGAAAAAAATATTAATGACTATTTCTCTAAAAATCTTTTATTACTGAAAGCCAAGAGAAAGTACAGCTACTACCCCTACAATTAGTAAAGCAACACCAATCCGTGGTACCTACATAACCCACGTAACGGTATCATGCAAAATGACAGGATTCTACAACCCCAATCAACACACACTCATCTCCCTTTTAGCATGAAACAAGTCCGTGAAACCAGCAGATTGCCTAAACATCAACACAGCAAGTAAACTCTAACTTTTATTTGCCAATATGTTAAATATTACTGTGGTTTAATTATATCAATATAAAAGAACAAAAATCACAGTGCTGTGTATTTTGAAACATTTCTGGGTGTTGACCAAGTAAAACTTGCTTGCTTTGAAGGTTTGCTTAAAGCTACATGACTATGAGAATTCTTATGCCTCCATCCTCCAACTGTAGATTTAGCAGCTGTAACAACAGCTGTGCACATTAGCAGCTGTAAAAGGCAGATGCCAAGTTCTAAAAAACAGCTTAACAGTAAATGAAAATAGAGCCTGTAGCAAGTTCTCATGGATTCCTCAATTAGAAGATTTTACTGTGCAACTTAACATCAGCTGGAGATCTGATTATTGTACTGTGCTTCAGCTGAACTTGGACTACAGGTTTTCCCAACGTTGGCCCTCTCTGATTCCATTACGACAGGAAAAAATCCTTTTGCTGTTACAGAAAAGCAATACTCACTCACACTGGTATACTAATTCTCTACATTGGCACATGTGCTCAGTACTTTCTTTGGAAGGAAGGCCTTAATATCAAAGAATCACAGAACCCTTAGAGTCAGAGGAAACCTTTAAAAGTCATCTAGTCCAACTGCAATGAACAGGGAAATGAATTAGAAATATGTTTGGTTTTCATCGCATCAACAAGATGAAACTGAGTGTAAATTCTGTACATCTTACCAACAGAAGATAGTTTTAGTTAATGAATGATCTAAATAAAATATGGAAATATTGTATAATTTTGTCATAATTCTTATATCAAAACTATCGTAGCAGAGGCTTTGGCCATCAGCAAAGGAGGATGGAAAAAAACAGAACTTGCTGGTATTGGTTCTTAGGGGTCCTCTTAGCTTTCCCAAGTCAGTTACAATCTGGAAGATGTTTTAGGAATCTAAAAAGTTGTCTTACTGAGCTAAATTTATTAGGATAAGAACACTTGCAGCTTTGTTGACTTTGGCTGCTGATGTGGGCATTAAGTTGCTTACAAAATGCAGCCCACCTATTTCAGTATCTAACTGTAGGTGTACCAACTCAGTGAGCTGCTAACTGAAAACACTGCTGATGGTGCCCAAAATTAAAGCAGAATGACGAAAGGAATCAAACACTGCTGATTTAATGCACTGTCTCTGTCTTCCTCCTCTTCATCTCCACAGTTCATGGAGAGCTCTACAAAATGGCTCAGCCTGCAAAGCAGTTAAGAGAAACACGCAAGAAAATCTCCACCTGGATGAAGACAACATAAAAACATTATTTAAAAAAAATAAAAAAATAAAAATCAACAGATCTTTGTGGGAACAAAATAGCAGACACTGAAGAACACGAGACAGGAATAAAGCTCTTGACCCTGCCACATCCCAATAGACCGTTTATTTCTCAAAAGAAACAAACAAAAAAACCTCCTCAGATGCATTTGAGGCATGAAAAAGTACTGTTTTACTATAGGAACTAACTTACATGACAAATAATTACAACAGTGACAGAAAAATACATGGAAACATAAGGAGAGATTTCATGTCTTGAACATAACCATGCCAACTTTTACTTCTTCAAAAACAGCCTATGAATTTCAGTGCAGAAACAGGTTATGAACAAAAGATTACGGTATAAAAGGAATGGCTTAACCTTGTTTGTTAATCGTGAAGCTCTCAAAATGTAATACCATGAAACTCCAAACACAGCATCCTCCCCTTACTGCAAATGTGCTAGCAAGGTACATGTTCTACTTCATGGCACACAAAGTAATGATCTGTTACAAGCAGTAATTGTTCCTGCACGTGTATAAAAGCATATTGTGCTGTATCCCCAGGAAGATGGCATGTGCTAGAAAGAGAAACAGCAGCAGCTGAGCATTGAGATTCTTAAGAGAAGCTATATGAAAGCAGATGAACAAATTAAGACTTACCACCTGCAAGTTATAACACAAAAATCAGTTCTCTGACGGGAGAAGAATTCACTAATGCCAAATTCTCACCACATGTACTTTAATGTAGGGGTCTCCAATCTTTTAACTTTTTGTGATCATACATTCCTATTAATGAAAAAATTTTCAGCATGCACAACCAGTATACATATATTTACTAATTTATAAATGAAACACACATACTACTGAAGTCCAAACATTTTCTCTCTTCCCCTCAATGGACAATTTTACCTCACTCTGAAGACCACAGCTGTAATGAACAGAAGAGCAAAAGCAAGCAAAACAACACTTGCCCCAGATACTTGCTATGAACGTGCACACCAAATTCTGGGAGCTCTGAGCTGGTTACCATGCATAAGATTTTGCTAATGGAGATAAAAAGTCAGCCTTACCGGAGGTGGTGGTGGTGGAGGGGGCCCTCCAGAAGGTGGTGGAGGTGGTGGTGGAGGAGGAGGCGGCGGAGGTGGCACAGGCATCCGTCAGGTTTCTAGCTTCACACAATTATGAAAAATATAGCCAAAGTCTGTGTCCTTGACGGGAAGGAAGGGAGGAGAAAGAAAACTGGAAAAAAAAAAAAAAAAAAAGAAAGAAGAGGAACAAATGTGTTTATGCACTGTAAGCTGAAGATCAGCCAAATTTCTAGCTCTCAGCAGACTGAAGACTTCTGCTCTGCACCGCTTCCAAAACTACAGTAAGAACAGCCTCATTACAGTTATCTGATGACAACAAGCACATAAAGACCAAGCTCACATATTTGGACAAGTGCCATGAATACCAAATGCATAGATGCCAAGCTGTCCAGCTTTAATTATTATGCTTTCCCTTAATCCAGCCCACAGCTCCAAAATGCAACTCTGCAGTGAACTAATCGCAGTCAACCAAATGTAGACACTCCTACTGGGACAAAAACTCTGATGTCTTTAAATCAGAGGTTTGATGCTCAAAAGATCAAGCAAGGAGCTTTGGAGCAAGTCCAGTGACTCACAGTGTAAAAAAAAAAAAAAAGAAAAAAAACAAAAAAACACACATGATTGAATAAAAAAGAAATAGTTCTACAGATTAGAGTTTCATTAAATATAGATCTATTACTAAATGGCAGCATATAAGGATCAGACATTTCAAGCACTAAAGTCAAATGTATGTTGTTTTGTGTCACTTTAAAATGTTAACTTTACACAATTCCTTCTTAATATACTGACTAAAAGGACAAATGTGTTCCAACAGAATGCTGAAGACACTAATTTACAAATAGAAGATGGGATTATCAACACCCAAAGCTTGTGCAAATGTACCTAAAGCAATATTGGTAGATATATCATTAACAATTTGCAGAGTTTAGGTTAAGGACAAATTTTGTTTGACTGCATTTCACAAAGCTCCCATAATTGGACTGTATTCTAGGCAAATTTAATTGAATTGGGTTGTTTGAGAAAAGATGCAATTTTACACTGTTTTAACATTATTTAGTTAGAGTTTAGATCGTTACAGAATCTTTAAACTGGACATACCAAAATATGCTTGAATAGCTATTCAAGTTATAATATAGCAAAGACATCACCCAAGACTAGAATTCACAGTTACTAGAAGTAAGCACTATTAGCCATAATTTTAAAAATGAGATCACCTAGTCCAACCACTAACCCACCCCTCCATGACCACTGACCATTTCCCTCAGTGCCACATCCCCATGGTTCTTGAACGCTCCCAGGGACCTCCCTGGGCAGCCTGTTCCAATGCATAACTGCTCTTTCCGAGAAGAATCGAATATCCAAACTGAATTTCCCCTGGCAAAGCCATTACCTCTTGTTCTGTTGCTAGTTACCGGGGAGAAGAGGCTGACTGTTGCTATAACCTTCTTTCAGGCAGTTGTAGAGAGTGATGAGGTCATCTCTAGCCTCCTCTTCTCCAGACTGAACAATCCCAGCTCCCTCAGCCATTCCCCGTAAGACTTGTGCTCCAGATCCTTCAGCAACAGAAGTGCAACAACTTTGTTGCGCTTCTCTGGACACTCTGCAGGGCCTCAATATCCTTTTTGCAGTAAGAGGCCCAGAACTGAACATGGTACTCAAAGTGCAGTCTCAGCAGTGCTGGGCACAAAGGGACAATCACTTCCCTGGTCCTGCTGTGACATTATTCCTAATACAAGCCAGGATGCCACCTCTGCACACTGCTGGCTCATGCTCAGCCAACTGTCGACTAGCATCCCCACATCCTTTTCCACTGTGCAACTTTCCAGGATTGTTACAACTAAAATGCAGGACCCAACACTGGGTCTTGTTGAAGCTCAAACAGGTGGTCTTAGCACATCGAATCAGCCTATCCAGATCCCTCTGCAGAGCTTTCCTTCCCTCACATGGTGTCATCCGCAAACTTCCTGAGGGTACACTTAATCCCCTCATCCAAATCATCTATAAAGATATTAAGCAGGACTGGCCACAGTACTGAACCCTGAGGAACACCCCAGCTGACTGGCCATGAGCGTTTTAACTCAATTCACCACCACATATTCTGCAACATCCTTCCAAAACCAAAGAGCTTCCTGACCCAGCTGTGCTCTTTTTCTCTTGAATCTCTTATTCACTTTGGATGGATAAAAGAATACATACTTAGAACTGGTTGTCTCTGTTCCCTGCAGCTCATGTATTTAAAGGCCTGTATCTCCCATTTGAGTCATTTCTTCTTTTTCCAAATGCCCTGCTTTTTAAAAATTTTACTTGTGGGTGATAATTTCCCAACCCCCGATCATTCCTGTTGCTCTCCTCTGAATTTCTCCCCACTGTACTTCCTGAGTTGAAGGAACTCAAGATTAGGAGAGGCAACAAAATTAAAAGGTACGTGCAGCCTTGTTCACTTTCCTAGGAAGTGTTATGTGAACAACATCCATACAGTATGTGACTATTTTCCTTCTACATCTTGCAAAATCCCTCATGGGAGATCAATCACAAATTAAAAATGCAGAGACTTTGCAGCATTTGCTTTCACCCATGAGAGAATACTACGCAAAGGACTAACATATCAAAGCACTCTGGATCTGTAAGAGTTGGTTGTAATCATTTTAATAATAGCTCAGTGAGGCTTTCCAAGAAAGACAGCATCACCAGCATCTCCACTGTTCCATCCTCATCATTGGCCTGTGCAAAATGCTGTTATCAGAAGATATCTCTTTTCCTCAATTAAGTCATTCAAAAACATGGACATAAGGAGAATGAGTCTTCCCTCTTAATAATATGTTATGGGTTACTATCTTCCTACCCTGCAATACAGGCCTTTTGTCTTTATTAAGGATTCAGATTGGGAAATATGCCCTTAGTCAAATGAGAAAAAGCCCACAGCCCACGCTTCTGCAGCAGGCCATGTGCAAAGCAGCAGGAGGCAACGTACACTGGGGGCGACCAGCAGTGGGAGAGAGGAAATGGGAATCAGATCTTGGTATTTAGAAGTCGCCCTCTGAAATATGATCAGATGACTTTGCTGGCTGCTTGTCTCACCAGCACCAGAACATGATTCCATATGGCCACCCACAACTCAAAATTCAGGATTGTTACCATTCACCTCACCATGTATCTCATACACCCAGCCTGAACCCTCTTGTCCAGCAACACGGGAGTGGAATGCATTTTGGGGGGCTATAATGCACGATCCCTGAATGAAGTATTGGAGATGCCCTATAGCTTTCCCTCCATGCTGTTTGAAATCCTTGCAAATAAGCTATCCCTTCTTTCAGAAAGCAGTGAATGGCATTAAATCCAACTGGTGACTGTTCATGAGTGGTATTTCCAAGGGGTCAGTAGTGGCGCTTGTCTTGTTTAATATCTTTATTATTTGCATGAGGGAATCATGTACCGTCAGTACATTACCGTCAGTAAGTTTGCAGGTGACACTAAGCTGGGGGGAAGTGCTGATCTGCCTGGAGGTAGGAAGGCCCGACAGACAGACTTGGACAAGATAGATCAATGGGCTGAGAGCAACGGGATGAAGTTCAACAAGACCAAGTGTCGAGTCCTGCAGTTTAGCCACAACACCAGGCAAAGCTACAGGCTAATGGTAGAGTGGCTGGAAATCTGCATGGAGGAAAAGGGTCTGGGGATAATGGTCAACGCTTGGCTGAACATGAACCCACAGTGTGCCAAGATGGCCAAGAAGGCCAATGACATCCTAGCTTATATCAGAAATACTGCAGGACCAGGGAGATGATTGCTTCCCTGTACTCAGCACTGGTGAGGCCACACTTCAAGTACTGTGTTCAGTTTTGGTCTCCTGAATACTAGAAAGACATTGAGGCCCTAGAGCACATCCAGAAAAGAGTAACAAAGCTGGTGAAGGGTCTGGAATATAAGTCTTATGGAGAGTGGTTAATGGAAATGGGTTCAGTCTGGAGAAGAAATGGCTCAGGGGAGACCTTATCACTCTCTACAACTACCTGAAAGGAGATTGTGGCAAGGTGGGGGTCTGCCTCTTTTCACAGGTAACAGCAAGAGGACAAGAAGAAATGGCTTCAAGCTGTGCCAGGGGAGATTCAAGTTGGACATTAGGAAGAATTTCCTCTCAGAAAGAGCGATGAATTGTTTGAACAGGATGCCCAGAGAAGTAGCGGAGTCAGTGTCCCTGGAGGTGTTTAAGGAAAGGGTAGATGTAGTATTAAGAGACTTAGTCTAGTGAGCAATATTGGTGATCAGTGACCTTACAGGTCTTTTCCAACTTTAATGATTCTATGATTCAGAATTTGCTTACATTTGTAAAACCTTCCTCTCCCTATGAAAAAAAACTTCTTAAAAATATCAAAGGCGAACAGATTAAGGTAAACATTCTCGATGAACCAATCTTCATCCTTATTTCCACATTGCTACCCAATCTGCAAGAGTCAGGAAAGCTTATTTTAAATGTAGATGTATTTATACTTGGAAGGGTGGAGTCTGATTTATCCCTGAGGGACATGAATAGAAAGAAAAAAGTCATTTGAGTTTAAAAAGTTGGCAATAAGTAGAGGCAAGAAATCACGAGTGATTAACCTCAGTCGTTCAGGCCAAAAGTAGTGTAAATCCTCCCTTCACTTCCATGTCATCATACAGAATCAGGCCCAACAATCTCAAAATTTATTGCAAAAAAGGAAAACCTCCAAGTCTGCCTTTTCTAGTCCACCTCCCTACCAAAGCAAGGTTGTTCAATTTTATAGTGCTTTCTGAAGTCTAATTTTAGATGTTCCAAATAATGTAGCTTGTATTATTTCCCTTGGGAAGTTCATTCACAGTCAAATAAATTTCAGTTGAGACTGCCTGACACTCAGCCTAATTTCTGCTTTCCTTAATTTGATCCTGTTTGCACTCCACTGCAGATGGCCCTACCCTGTAACGCGCAAGTTTCTTCTACCCCTCAATATCAGTTCTGTGAAACATTATAGTTTAGAAGCACGTTTGCAGGTACTCGTTACACTTTTCAGCTGTTTTGCTCCTCACAAGTCATCTCATCAGCCACTGAGCATTTGTTATTGTTCTCTGATCTATAAATACTTGCTCTTTTTTTTGTCCTCCTGGTAATGCTAACACTAAAGTTGGTAATTTCAGGTGTCACAGACTGTTCTTCTATTCACTATACATGGTTGAATAACTGCTGGGTTTAAGAACCACAGTAATCCTCAATGTATAACTCAAGCACCAAATTTCTGAAGTCCCAAAGTCATCACACAGATTTTCCTTTTGAAATGGAAGACAAGACAGAGCAAATGCAGATTTTCCTTCTTTGGTACCTGCTCTCTCAGTTCTGTGTTAGATTCACCTGCACCAAACTCAACGCATCTGCTTATGCTTTTATACAGATTTGGTCTCACTTTGCCTACCCACTAGACATACGCAAGCTCTGATCCAGAAGCTTCCCAAGGATCTCCTTCTGAAGTATCACTGCCAGTGGGCTCACCTTAAGCCAAAGTCCTCCTGGGATCCCAGCACCATGAAGAGCAATAGCGCAGTGTTTGGAGAGCTGCTGCCACCATTGCTATCACACCAAAGCCCTGCAGATCACCATCACAGGTCCATCCACAAGGACTGCACCAAAATATGTCACTTGTCATAGAAGGGCGAGGCGCGGAAGAGCCGTGACTCCACTTAAGAACAATGCTGAGCAGGAGAAAAGATAAAGGGAAAGATCACAATTATTTCAATATATGTGGTAGGCAACATAAAATTATTTCTAAATCAGTAGCTTTTCCTTTAAAAAAAAAGGTTATTGCCTTTTGGTGGTATAGTCATTACAATACAACAACACAGTTGGATGAAATTCAACCCTTCTAATCAATTTAGGGAAAGAACTGCAAAACAACAGGTTTACTATTACAGGATTTACAATCATTGCAACTGTGCATCTGAGTTAGGAAATTCAGATATAGGGAAATTTACAGATTTTTGCATAATAGTGAAAGCTAAGATGAAGACTACACCGGTGTGCAGGAAAGTTCATCTAAAACATTAATCTTATTTTGTTGATTAGAAACTGAAGCATAAATGTGGACCACAAACCCCGTCTCTAACTTTTAGCCATCTTTTACATAATCATATGTGATTTCCAAACTATACTGTTCTGAATTCTTTTAAATCCTTCCACTTCAACAAAAAAAATCAAGAAAATTTAAAATCACACAAGAGAAATAGCATTAATAAGCATCTGTTCAGCTTTCATGATCTGCGAGGTAGATTGTGCCACACTTGTTCCTCTCAAACATCACTGAAGAACAGCTGAAGTCCCTGGTACAAATACGCCACAAATGTTTTAATTCCAGTGTAACACATGTAGAGGCAGAACAGGGAGGGAACAGAGAAGAACATATGCACGTTACAGACATTAATTTTCCAGCTACTGCTATCACACAATTGGAAATTACTTGGAAAAAGCTTCTGCTTGTAACAAACCATGTTAGATTTTAATTACAATTGAAATCAAAACAAGTCACACCACTTCTTCCTACTGCTTTCAGTGTGAATGGAATTCAGAAAACAAAACTAATAAAGAATCAAAGCAGAGCTTCTGAGTATCCTCACAGCCTCCATCCTCTGCAGAAATAAAGCTGTCCACAAAAGACTCAATGGATTCTGCTGTATGTGAGAGATTTAAGAGCTGCACAAAAGCACGAAACTTACAGTTTTCTTTTGCACCTTATTAGAAACATAAGCCCTCATATGCATACCTAGTTTACTATCCATATTTTAAGACATTCAGAGGTAAATTCCCACAGTAGAATAAAAAAACTTGAGTCTTTTACCATTTCCTAACAGACCACACTTTGGACTGTATACAGTTTACGAGAAATTTCTGCTCCCAATCTCCACTTACTTCAATGCAACTGAAAGGAGAATCTGGCTTTTCCATTTCCATTGCAATGCACTAACCACGGGGGCTCTTCCTCCATTTAATACCTGATGAAACACTCTTAGGAAGCATTTGCCTACACAGGGTCTGTGGAACTGTCTCACAGCACATAACAGTATTCTGTATTTAAGCCTAGCAACGACAGTAAAGCTTCCCCAGTGTGGAATATTTCCACCTGGTATGGAAATATCCAAATAAAGGCTACATCCCCTTTCTTTCTGCTTGAAAAAAACAAAACAAAACAAAACAAAACAACAAAACACTCTTAACAGTGCAACTCTTGTCCTGCCAGCAGCCTGATAACAGTGCGACTAACCAGCCAGGGCTGACCTAGTGCAGATTACAGGAATCTGAAGACGCCTTGCTTCTATGTGTGCAGAGGGCAGATATCTTTGCTGGGTTCCCCATGGTGCTGAGGCTACAAATTAAAGTGCTGTGTCTTGACAAATCTTCCTTCAGAGGCAAAGCTGCATATATGACTTCATATTCCCTATGCATGACTATTTTAGGGTGTAGCTTCCTGTGCTCTGTGGAGATTTACCATAGAAGAATGATTGCTGTAATGCTGCAGAATATGAAATTTGTCATCCTGTTTAAATCAGGAGTAACAGAACAGAACTATACATAAGAACAAAAAATGAATTATGCTCACAGTATTACTAACCCCAGGTTAAAGAGCTCAAAGAGACCAAGGTAGATGAGAAGCAATTAGGACTGGCACAAAGACTTGACTTTAGAAAGGAAGCAATTTATACAAAGGTTTCCTTTAAATGCACTGTATCATCCACACAAAGACAGGCCGTATTTCACTGCCAGATTTATAAACAATGGTGAATTTGATATACAGTCATTAGCAAAGTTAATCATTGGCCTAAGCTAAATAAAGAAAGTGCGACTCAGTTGAAGTTCAAGGTCGATGTCACATTATGAAGATGACTGCTTACTTTTATACTCTCCAAGTTTTTCAGAACAAACAGCCCTGGAGACCTTTTAGTATGGACAACCTCATGCTTGAAAATATAAGCATACAGAGACCTGCAGAGTGCAATATCAGATTGATCTCTACTAGCTTAAGAAACAGTCCAGTGCTTGCAGTGCAAGAAAAACAAAAGTGGCAGAGCAATGTGAGTCATTCCTCCCTACAAGATGGCATCAATATCTTGGCTTGGAACTGGACTCTGGTCACTGTACTGTAAGGATTGTTCCATAAGGGTTGTAAAAAGCAGTTATCTCATCACCTCTGGGAAGGTGCTTCCAGGAAAACTTCTCCTCAAAAAAAGAATGGGAAGTTTTGATCCAGGTTTTCAGTGAAGCTGCAGTTATCTCTTTTCCCTTCCAAATCTATTTTCAATGGTAAAAATGCTAGCACTGATGTACTGACCAACTGAACTGCAACTTGTAAACATGCTTACACATTCTTCCTTTCCTGCTTATTTGCCAATCCTGCTGAAACTGCTGCTTCATTTCAATGACATAACTGATAAACTCATCTTAGACATTCTTCACAGCAATGCAAGGCTTCCATACTTACAGGTAAAAGGTATAAAAAAATCCTGTGTTACTAAGGAAGATGAGCTACACTGTGTTGCAAAAGTGTTGTACTTTAAGTACTCTAACTAATTCAGCGTCCTAAAACAAATAAAATGCAAAGTGTTTTTATGGCTCCTTTCATAGCCAATAATTTATAAAATTCCGTGCACAAAAATGTAATTACTCTCGTAAACAGAAAATTAGTTTTGAAGTTAATAGACAAAATATCTATCTCCACTGTCATCCAATTACTTAGGACAATGCCTTCATTTTTTACAAGAAATAACAAGTTGTAAAGTCACTTGTAACTGTTAATTTCCTAGAGAACTGCAGATAAAAGACACTTTGACCTGCCAATGCAGTTCTGAATTTCTAGTCAAACAAAGTTCTCAAAAGGAAGCAATTTAAGTTTTATTAAATTGAAGATTCAGCCCTTCAGTTCAAAGGACTTGAGTTACAAGTCTTTGTTAAAAACATCATATTCAGAGTGGACAATGCAATGGATATCTACACATACATACAGAATAAGCAGTGAACATTAGACATCCAAAAATAGTCAACTTCCTTTGTTGCCTGCTGAAGAAGGAAAGTAATTCAAGGGGATTAACTGGCAGCAGCAGGTTATTTGAAATTGCACCTTCACAGGAACGAAGGAACAAGGTGTTTTTTTCAGTTGTTCCTTCTCTGAACAAGCAGATTCATTTATAGAGCAAAAGCCTGATGCCAGAATGAGCTCTCATGAACACTTCCAGTGCAGCCAGTATCTCCTACCATCACTGTAAGCAGGGACAAGAGGAGGACTCAAACTAACTCTGGTATCAAATTTTATGCTGGTTTGGGACTCCAACATTCACTTCTACCAGTCTGGATCTGGCCCTCTTCTCTCTTGTTCTCCTTCTGCAAAAATCTCTCTCCTTTCCTAGTGGTTTACTGGTCTCTGCATCCGCCCTCCTCACTTCAGTCCTTCTTTATCTTTGCTCCTTTCAACATTCACCTCCACTGTTGCCTGTTGCTGATGCCTGCCAGACAAATTCAGACAATTCATTTACAAGGTTGAGTTGTTTGCCTTGGAGAAAGAAACACAGCACATGTTGCACAAGTAAATAACTGCACTGGCAATATCAGAGGTTTAGTACTGATTGCTAATACTGAGAAATACAGAAGAAATGCAGAAAGCTGACCTGTCTGTGAAAGGGAAATGTGATCCTGTCAGGTAGCAGAAATGTGTTTTCTAGAGAGGAAATGTATCCTGAGTAAAGTAGGTAAGTCTTAATGCCAAATACAAAGCTTTTCCTGATAGTCTTGTACCAGATTGGAATATGGGAATTTAAAAAAAAAAAAAAAAACAGGCAAAAAAGACTGGGCAGAGGAAAGCAGCAAAACAACTGAAGTATACACTGCAGCTATACAGGACCTCTGCAGCTCCTGCTGCAGCTTTTTAAAAGCAAGCTCAGATATCCCTACAAAGCACAGCACTATTCATCCTCCCCTTAAGTCAATGTTTTTTTTTTTTTCCCACCACCCACTTCTGTATAATCCCATTGCTGTATCTTTACTTCAAGGCTAAAAAAGATTGCAGTAGGCATCCAGTCAGGTCCCACACCTGTCATTCCCACAGTACACTACAATCTCCCCCTATGTCAATTTACTGATTTAGGGACTAATCCATCCCTGATTAATCTTTATGCTCAATTTTCCACTGTTTTCAGTAGAACTGATGTCATTTCCTTAGGGCTTCATTCTGAAAACCCAAGCAAATAACAAGCTGAGGTAGCACAAGTAACGTCCCTAAGCACGCTAAGCTGTTTGTGCTTGCACAACTGATCAGTCAAAGCATCTTTCTGACCAAATCCTAGACAGATTTTGGCAGATGTTTTTGAAGTGATTCATGCATCCCCAAGAGGAGCAAACATTCCTCCCAAAAACAAGTTACTCAAACATGCGCTGCTTTCCTCATACGTAAGCCTGGCTTGCCTTCCCTCCTCCTCGTGATTTTCTTATCTGTCTACTCATAGAATCAAAGAACTATTACATAATTAAGGTTGGAAAAGACCACTAAGACTATCTAGCCCAACAGTTCACCCACCACTACTGTGCTCACTAAATCACGCCCCACAACGCCACATCTACTATTCAACTAACAGCAAATCTACAGACTTTGTACAGATCCTGTGCACTCTTCTTCTTCAGCCTATGATAAACGCATAAGTGATACGGACAAAAGCCCCCAACCTGCCAGGGGTATTTCATATGCAGTCAGCAGTGCTGGTGTATGAAATTTTCATTGCACAAAACAATGCCAGTTAGAAAAGCAATAATATAATAACTTTCAGACATGAAGATTCAGAGGAGGAACAAAAGATCCCAAGACCTCCATTGTGAGCTGCCATACTCTGCTCTCCTCATTCTTTTTTTTTTTTTTTTGTTATTTATAATGAAGAGAGTACATGATATGTTAGCTAGAAAAAAGCTAAACAGTCATTAACAGAGCTGCTTACAGTTAGTGAAAAGGACTGACACAAAGGGGTTACTATCTCTAAATCCATTCATTCACTTTGTTCTTCATTTGGAAGGAAGCATTTCCCCTTATCTTATGAATCAAACAGAAGCACTGTAGTTTATAGCCAACTCTTTAATTTATGGAGACAGACGCTGCAATTGCCGCATTGTTAGTGAAGGATAAGCATATCCACTACTTAACAAGTGCACGACAGATACAGGGTATTTTTCTTAGATGTTTGTACAAACAGTGTCAAAATTGAGCAAATGTTTTCCTGCTGAACTTTCTGTTTTTCTGAGTTTAATGAATTTTATCTTGTAGGAACCTCCTGTCCAGTTTTCCTATGTTTTTCACTTTGTATTATCACTCGTATTGGAGCTATAGCACAGCTATTCTGTTACTCTCCTCTGCCCAGCTGGCCTACAATATCACACAATCACAGAATGACTTGAGTTGGAAGGGATGGCAACGATCATTTAGTTGCAATTCCCACCCATGGGCAGGGCTGCCATCCACCAGTGCAGGCTGCCCAGGGCCCCATCCAACCTGGCCTTGAGCATCTCCAGGGATGGGCAGCCTGTGCCAGTGCCTCATCATCCTTTGAATAAAAAAATTCTTTCTAATATCCAATCTAAATCTCCTCTCTTTTAGTTTAAGACCACTCCCCCTTGTGCTATTACTATTAGACCATGTGAAAATTCAGTCCTCCTCCTGCTTATAAGCTCCCTTAAAGTACAATGAGGTCTCCCTGGAGCCCTCTCTTCTCCAAATTAAACAAGCACACCTCTCTCTACCTTTCCTCACAGAAGAAATGCTTCAGACCTCTGAGCATCTTCATAGCCATCCAACAGCTCTGCATCCTTCTTGAGCTGGGGGCCCCAGGCCTGGATGCTGTATTCCAGATAACACTGCTGATGTCACCATTCTCCTCAAGGAGGGCTGTTTGTCTCCTCTTAACAGTGGTCAGCAGTGACACAGGGTCAATACAAAGAAGAATCAGGTTTCCCATTATCTTAATCAAAGGAGACCTATTTCTGGTAATCTAAAGGAAATCCATCTGAACTGTTGTCTGAATGACCAAGGCATGAAAACATGCTTTTCACATCCTTATGAACAATCTTCAGTTGTTTCACATACTTTCATAGCAGTCAAAGGTGCCTTTACAGCTGTTGTGCATACTACTGAATGAGGTCACTTAATGATACCACTTAAGGTGGACATATTCAAAAATATTCAAGTTGGTCCAAACATATACAGTTGGTGGTACAAAAGTACAAGTCCAAAGGAGCTGTGGTGCCCCATCTCTGAAGTCACTCAAGGCCAGGTTGGATGGGGCCCTGGGCAGCCTGAGTGGTGGGTAGCAGCCCTGCCCATGGCTGCGGGTTGGAACTGGGTGATCTTTAAGGTCCTTCCAACCCAAGCCGTTTCATGATTCTCTGATTCTATGATATTCCCTTTCTGAGTTGGAAGCCCTGAGGACATTTTTCTGTTTGCAAACACAGCACAACCTACATCACTGGTCACCCTGGTTACAAAGGCACAAGACAACCCCGATGCAGAGATACCAGAGATTAATAAGTAACTGTGAAGTCCCATTAAGGTTCTGCTCCTATCAGCTCTTTTTCAGAAAGCTTCAGTCTTTCAAGAAATATAACTATTTCCTGTAAGAGCACAGGCTAAGGAAGATCTCTACACATAACAGCAAGTACTGAAGACTTTTAGTCAGAATAATTTATTAGATATTATATTTCATTTATATATTTATTTAGTTATTAATGTTACATGCAGTTTGGAAGAAGCCAGAAATTTGTATCAGGGCACAAAAGAACCCACCACCATTTTCCCGAAGCAATCACCTGCTTCAATTTTTCATCTGATTCATTAGACCTTTAGTGAATGGTATCAAATACCTACATAACAATGTGTCTGATGCTCACACACATCCAGGATCAATCAATTACAGAAGCCCAGGGGAAGAGAGCTGAATTGATCTTGGCCCATCTTACCTGCTTTCATTAACTAAGCAGAACTTGTCCCAGCCACCAAGCAAAGAGACAAAAAGCTTCCAGAGAAAGTGATTCTACTGAAAATCATGAATTTCTTGTAGGTAGGTTCTGACTTATAAAACACACAAAGAATGTGATGCCAATTCTTTCTCAGCTTCGCTTTGGAGCTGGAATAAGCTTAAAATATTAAACCTTGGTTGGCATTTCAATATCATTTACATTTGAATTTAAAATATTAAATCATATGTTACTCGGCTTTAACGCTTTCCACATTTATGTCTTAAAACGTGCAAACACTCTTCTATTTGTTATGACCACCACACTGTTTTTAGTTCAAGGTCTTCCTTCCAGAAGACAACTGATTTCCCAAAATACTGACCTCATCACCCCCTCCAAAAAGTGACTCTTTTCAAATACAAAGAGCATCTATTAGCATAAATATGCTAGGATCTATTAAGGCAAGATATTCAACAAGCGCTGCTGACTTTTATGGTATGGTTACTGCTATGTTTTGATTTACAGTTCAAAAAAGATATCTAAATACTTTGTGCAAATTTAATAGCAATCATAAATAAATTCAGTGCATGGCCCTTCCTGATGTATTGCAGTAACTGAAATGCTGCAGGATCTTTACATGTTAGTTTATCTATATTTCCTTTTGGAAGAGCCATTAGAGATGGAGAGAGAGAAGAAAAAAGCAGTTGCTTTGTATTATACTACATAATTTGATAAATGTAGTGTACGCTGCTCTTTCCAGTGCAGAATCAGAACTTCAAGTGCAAGCTGATCTTTCTCGGGAATAGAATCAAACAAGGAATGATTTGAATGCTGATTTCAGCTCTGTACCTATCCTCACATGACCAAAGTCTGAATCTTATGACTCTAACTCATATTCTGGCATCATCTAAAGCAAAACATCCAAAGCACTGTCAGTGAAACAACACACACTTATGCAATCCTTTAAGCATCCTACACTGAGCTGCTTCTACATGGAAACTGGTAACTGTCAGCAAAGCAGGCTGCATCCTTCCTCCTCGGGCTGGGCACAGTCCCACAGCTGTGGGCGGCAGCAGAGTCCGCACCGCCCGCACATTCCATCAGGACTGCTTGGGTCACAGGGCCACGCAGGAGCAGGATCTGCAGGCACACATACCTAATGAGTGTCCCAGATCACACTGCTCTAGGCAAGTCTGTGTTCATCTTTCCTGTAGCCTGTTTATCAGTACAAAGAAAGCAAGCTGAAGACTTTAACAATGATTTCAGAAACACTGGCACACTGTTAAATGACCATGAGTTTGTGCTGGATACAGAGCTGGAGAAACTGAAAATACTGATAGCATCAAGGGCAGCTGAGCATACCGTGCAGCACACACAGTAACAAGTATCGCTGTTAACACAACTGCAGCAGTATCTCGCTGTCTGAATAAGCAGAAGCACCCAGAAACTTTAGCCCATAAATCCAGACTTTCCCAAGGCTGTTCCATGTTGAAATCACCAACCCTTATTCTATACCTCCATACCGTCTCTCCTTTTGCTGTCTTTCAGCCCTCTCGCCCTCTCAATTCACAACAAACTGCATTTCGTCCCAAGCCCAACCCAGCCCATCGGCCTGAGTGCATCCTTCCCATCCCCAGAATCTCAAAGCCCACCTGCAGCTGTGCTGGCTCCTGCATCCCTCCATTTCTCCTTCCATCCCTCCCTGCATCCTCCCTATTCCGGTCGGCCACACCAGGCATTCCCACATGCCCACTGCAATACGTACACAAGCATTTAACACAGTGCACTGCTTACATTTACACAAATCCCCCTTTCCTCGGCTTACCTATTCCAACACATTTACTTCAAGGGCACCAGCCAGGAAAAAAAAGTTCTTCCTGTGTGCAAACAGCCCGTCTGAGGGCGATAAACAAACAGCGCAGCACCGCACCGGCCCCGCAGCTCACATGCAACCGTGCTCTCCTCATCCACAGCCCTCACCGTATCCCGCAGCCTGAGGCATCCTGATCCCCACCCTCCCCGGCCCCGCAGCCGGCTATAAGTTTGCACGAGGAGCCGTCTCGGCCCCGCAGAGCCGGGGCAGCCCCGGCCGTCTCTCTTCACTACCCCCAGCCCTCCCGGCGAGCTCCGGCTGCCGCCCGGCCCCGGTACCGGCCCCTTCGCCGGCGCCTCCCCGCCGCGGCCCCGCGCTGAGTGGAGCGGAGGGCAGAGGCGTGACGGGCTGGGGGCGGCGAGCGGCCAGCTTCGCCTCCATCGGCGCCCACCTGCTCGCCGTGCCGCTGCCGCTGCCGCCGGGGTCGGGACGGAGAGGCGCGCTCCTCCCCGGGCAGAGGGCGCCAGGTACGGCGCCTGCCCGCCTCTCCTCGGGGAGCGGGGGTTGGTCGGGAGGCGGGGGAAGGAGGTGTGTGTGAGGAGGGAAGTCTGAAATCTGGAGGGGAGAGGAGCTGGTCGGAATCCTCAGGAGGGAACAACAAACAAACAAATAACTAAATATTAAGTGGTAATGTAATACACACACACGTGCACGCGTACTGAGTGGGAGACAGACGGTGGCCGGCTGCAGCCAGCTGGTTCTGATGCCAACAGCCCCGCCGCAGCACCAGTTGCCACCTGTTCAAGATGGCCCTGGACGGCAGCTGAGGGCTTAGCGGTGGGTACACGGGCTTGTCCTCAGGAGGACAAGGAGGAGGCCCTGGACAAGCCCAGCCCATTCCTCATCCCCAACCCTATCCCCAACTGTGAAGCACTGTCCTGCATTGCAGTGTCTCATCACTCAAGCGCACACCTTGGCTTCTCTTTTCAAATGCCCACATGGAACCCAAAGCACTGCCCAACAGCACAAAGGTGCCATCAATCCACCCATTGCCAAAGGCCATCCACTCAGTGAACTGCATCTGCCTGGGAAGGGGGCTGTGGGTGCAGCCAGATGGCTGCCTTCATTCCTCACCCTCACACTTCAGATTGTGTACTCAGAATATACACGAACAATCTTGGTTTCTTCAGGATTATTTAAAGGCAGTTTCCAGCTGGAAATGCTATGGCCTCACCCCAGGAGAGTTTTCCTTGTTTCTGTTGAGGACAGGGAGTTACTGCCAAGTTCTTCTCTCAGTCTATACACATATTTGGGATTGCCCCAACCCACATACCAAATACCTTGTCTTGGCTTTGTTGAACGTTATTAGGTCTACCCAGGCTCACCTTTTCCATGGTCCCTTTGGATGGCATCCCTCCCTTCTATTGTGTCAAATGCACTGTTCAGCTTGGTGTCTATTGCAAACTTGATGAGGGTGCGCTCAATCCCATCATCTGTGTCATTGATAAAGGTGTTCAAGAGCACTAGGCCTGAGATGGACCCCTGAGGGACACCACTCATCACTGGACTCCACTTGAACATCAAGCCATTGACATCAGCTCTCTGGGTTCAGCCTTCCAACCAGTTCCTTATCCACTGAATAGTCCATCCTTCAAACTCATATCTCCCCAATTTAGAGATAAGGATGTGATGCCGGACCATGCCAGAGCTTTCGCAGAAGTCCAGAGTTGAGAACTTGATTTATTGTTTTAAAAATATCTTCCTGGTTGCTTGTGCAAAAAATCTGTCCCAGTTGTTTCTACAGTGGTCAGGGAGCTCTAAACCCATTTCTGTTGCCCACTAGTTTCAACCTAAAAACACAAAGTAAAACCTAGAGGACCGTAGGTAGCGCACCAGAAAAAATCTAAGCATTTACCTAAAAAATATATTTATACATTTTTATTCCGAATTTAAAAATAGTCTTGTGCCAGTGTGCAAGAACATTATCTTGTTGTTTAGTTTGGTGCAGTTTTCTGAGCTTTTGACACCCTCTTTATTCATGCATTTTAATCACAGTTAGTACTAGTTTTTAGATTACTAATGCTGGAAACCTCTTGGTTTACATCAGAAGTGGATTTCAGAGAAACAAGCTGCAAGAAACACACAAAAAAAGTTGGCTTATTCAGTTCCTATGGCTGCTGTCTGGTTTCTAAATCCCACTATTTACCAGCTCAGTCCACCTAATGGTAACAAAGTTTGTACTGTTCAGCAGTGACCATTTCTACCTGTGCAGCTGCACTCAGCTGCTAATCTGTTTATGCACTGGTTTAATCTGAAACAGCTTTACCCACAGTACATCATTCACATGCGTTTATTACACTGAAGTATGCACTGAAGTATGCAGTACTTGCCACTGGGCTAGTGTTAGCATGTTAGAGGAAACTGTGGCACATTACATTTTATTTGAAGAGCCCTTCGGGGATGCATGCCAAGGGGTTGTGAAAGTCTTCTTTTTCTGTTTCATCTTTGAGGGGAATTGGTGGAAAGTGTAGAAGTGCTCACTTCCTGGTACTGTATCCAAAGACAATCTAGGAATGAGCAGTGCTACTGGAAGAGGCCACAGACTAAAGTCCAAGCCATTTTGTGAAGGCTACTGCGACAAAACCCAATTAAAACAAACGGAAAAAAAAAAGTGCATCACTCCATAGAAGTCCCCTTCCATTCTTAAATTTTTTCAGTACTAGATTATGATGATTATTAATAAATATATAATTGATCATTTCTCTAAAAATACCTTTCTACACCAAGAATATGTTTGTGACACTATTATCTTCAAGACTTCCTGGTAATTCCACACAAGAAAAAGAACACCTGAAATAAGTCAAATGATTTAGGAGGAGATGAAGGGTATCCCATGCAGGGGAAGAAGAACATCTCTTTTATTTGGCATGATGGTTCAGTTCTCAAGTAGAAGGATCTGAGATATTTCATTAATGTGTGTCAGCATAAGTACTTGTCAAAGAAAGTACTCAAAAAGATGTGTTCGAGTTCTGGTTTTTTTTTTTCATCCATAAATAATAAAATATAGAGGCTTCTGTTCAATTCATTATTTTTACACATTACTTTTACACATTACTGGTTCTCTAATTTGTTGATAAGAGCTACTAGAAGCTTTATACAGTACATGAAGGTGACAGTACTGCTCATACAGGTAGCCTCAATCCTACTAGAAAGTAGACCACTATACATTGATCTACAGAGTAAAAAAAAAAAAACCCTTCCAAGGACACACACTGAGCAGGCAGATGGCTTGCGGGTGTTTTGTGCTGCCTTAGATCTGATGCTAGCAGCACCCAGCCTAGATGGCCTAAACCAAGCTCATTTCTCCTTCAGAACTTGACCCTGGAGAACTATGGGCTCTTGAAAAGAGCTGATGTTCCAGCTCTAGTTCAATATCAGTGCCACATGGGCAAGGTTTCAAGGCTGTTTTTGTTGCTGGTTGGTCAACAGAAACTATGAAATCAGGTTTGATGCCTGCTGTGAAAGCCCTCAAGTAAAAATGTCATGTTTCAACATTTTCTTGTTCATAAGCTTGTACATTACCTAAAATCAATGGAGAATGTACACATAGGATGTATTGTGTAGTCAGAGCAAACGTGGCTTCTACTGGTTTTATCTTTTGTTGTGTAATTTGAATTGCTTTAGGGAGCCCAGTACATAAATTTGTTCCTTTTTAATTAACTTAAACATTTAACTCAAGTACTTAAAATGCAAATGTGTCTGGAAGTTACTTTACAATATTAAATATTCCCTCAGCTTTGCTTCTGGTGTAGCTTGTGTTGTACTTCTTGATCACATCAGTGGTAAGTATCGATGATACTTACCACTATCTTACCCTAAGTATAGAAGAAATGCAATGCATTTAATACATTAAAACACCTTTTTAAGAGGTAACAAAAATACTGATAAGTCAAGGCATTTGTGCATAATCTGAAAAATAGCTTTACATTAAAGTGCATAGAACAGAAAAGCATTAAAAGGTGAAATAGAAATGTTTCTTCCTTTCAGCCTGCCATTTGATTACACTTCTGAATAGCTTCCAACACTTGAAAGCTGTGTTTCAAGAAATCTCAACCATTGTGCCTGATGACTTTGCTAGCTCTGGTTCCACAACTAACAGAGACTTTCCCTTGTATTAACAGAGATATTCATCTGTATTTGTCTCCAAATCTTAACTTTGTTATCTGTACAAATTCTGTACTTCATTTTCCATAAAGTAACTCAAATTTTTACTTTTGCTCTAATATCTTTTGCTTTAATAAAACCTTATTTTTCTTCTATTACATTTTGGTAGGAAATTTCTAAACGTGACTGCATTACTTACTATAGTAATAATGGAGCCATGTTAACAAATAAAGTTTAGACAGCAATACTGAGGAAATCTGTAGACAAATAATTAACAGAGATGATTTCCCTAGAGTAATATATTGGTGTTTACTCTTTTTTTTTGGTGTTTTTAATCCAAATCCTAAACCCTTACTCCTGATCTTGTTAAGCAAGCTGTTTGCTGAGTTCTTTGGAAACAACATCTAAGTTTGTTCAGGCTCATGGTAAATAATTAGTACCTACTGTGAATAATCCCTTCCATTAATTGTATTTATTTTGCTTACTTCTGTTTGTGCTGTAGGATGTCTTAAAAAGTATCTCTTAGCAATAAAGCTTTGCATTTTCTTCAGTGCTTGGTTCTGCCATTCATTTTCTGCATGACCTCTGCGAAAGTACTTAATCGCCCTTAATAGCATGAGTGGAACAAGAATGCATTCATTAATATTTGTGAGGCTGCCAGACACTATGCTACTGCGAGCATTTACAGTTCCTTACAGAAATTATAATTGCACAATCCAGCTGGTTAATGTTTATCCAGTTACCAAACAGCTAAACAAAAAGCAGAGAGGCAGGCCTACTTTTTTCTCTTGATCAGTATTGAATTTTAAAGGAATTTTTCCATGTCAAAGCTGTAGAATTAAGCACTGGATGAATTACCATTAGCGGGCCTCTGTGGAGAATAATGAGCTGAAAGCATGCCCGGTGCCAGTCTGCAATTAGAGTGAGAAGTGAAATACAGAGAGAATCAGAACACCATTTGCAAATCTCACTTTTCGGAGCATAACCTTTTCATTCCCACCAGGGGGAGCGTACTTGAAGATAACAATTAGCAAGCACAAATGCTGTATTTGGAACTGATGGTGTCCTTTGCCTCTTTCTTGAAATAGAAGGGTACTTTGTGATCATTGAAGAAGCAGTGCGAGTATTTTCCTGCATCCTGGACATATTTTGAACGCTATTTTTTTAAGCATCAGTGTCAAGAACAAGATTTAGCTCAGGGTTTATCTAGAACAGAATGCCAAACAAGAAGAAAAGTCTCCTACATAACGGCATACACAGCTATTAATATGCACACAGAGCTTAGATATTAGCATAGTCAAAGAGCAGTGTGAGTACACATCTGTTGGTCTGGGTACAGATGCCTCAGTAGTCCCTGCTGCTTCTGATGGTACTGCAGACATAAGCTTACTGTTCTCAGCAGGTCTG